CCCCCCCGCAAATCTAGGCATGTTATGAAAAGATGATTGATATGGGTGCCCTAAAAAATTTGGGGAATGAGATAGGAAGCATTCTAGAAGAACAAGGATTAAAAGTATGTGTGATAGCTTAGATAGTAGCCATTCTGCGAAGCTTTCTTAGACTTCCCAAGAAGGCATTAGTCTCTGGACTTCCATAGCCCTCTACTGTGGCATTTACTCATTTTAACATTAATTCAACAAAAATATATTGACAGCCTCCTATATTTCCCCATTAATAAATTATAAGTAACTAAAAGTTAAGGCATTCTTTACATATGGCAGCATCTAACATATAGTACTTGGCATAGTGCAGGTTTTCAGTAGATTATTTGTTGGTGAAAAGAGAGAAAGATAGGTATGTTAATAAGTAAGTCAAAATCTATTGCAAAAAAATCTACTCCTAGACTTTTCTATTTTTCTAGAATGTTCTAGACTATTCCAAGAGTGATTCTAGGTTTGGGGACCATTCTTCCAACAAATAAAAGAGCAAAAGGGCACTCCAGCCAATTGATGAAAGCCTGACTTGTGGGAAAGTTGTGATAGAATTATTTATCTTCTTCTAATATTTCTAATTGAATACTCTCTTTCCTTTCATTATTTTAAAAAAAAAAAAGTAGAAAATTATCTTCTTAACTAAATGGGAGTCTTTTGGTAGAAGGAGCCTAAGCATTTCCTATCCACAAGATAATACTCAAAAGCTGTTGCTTTACTTCTAACATTTATTAAACACTCCTTTTACCTGTTCCAGGAATTATCCTAGGTACTTGGAAGTCAAAAGTGATCAAAACACATTTACCATCTTTAAGGAGGTAGAGAAGAAGACAAAAGATAAGCAGGTCTTTGTAGTACAGTGTAGCATGTGTGAATACTCTAGGACCACAGTTGAGGACATTTTCTGAATGGAAATAGGCAATAAAAGAGGAGAAAAGGGGTTTCTAAGAAAAAATATTGTTGCATTTAAGGTGTCTGAGGGAGTCACAGGCAAAGATGTTAAGTAGAATGTTAGTGTCTAGTCTGAAGCTTAGGGAAGTGATCAGACTTACAAATAGAGATTTAGGAGCTGTTATGTTCACATTCACCGTGGAGGATGGGCTTGTAGAATAGGAGAGTATTCCCATCTCTACTCTATTTCTATAATTTACGGGAGAAGTTGAGTGGTATTGGAAAGAACTCCGTTTTTCAGGTCTAAGTTCAGACCCCAGTAGTTGCTGCTTACTGACTACACCAGGTGCCTTACCAGGCAGGGTAAATGTTCTCATTAAACCTATTTATCTTATTGGGTGATATTATTCTATTAGCTATGTTATTTTAATTCTTAATTAAATTCTGAGCCTGTTTCCTTTTTGGTAATTTTGAGCTAATAAGTGCCATAGACGGCTGAAAGAATTTAATGAAGGAACACATAGGAGTCTCTTTAGACCCTAAAACAGCAAGCATTTAGTATATACAGATGCCCCTCTCCTTCCATGTGGAATTCTGAAGTACATCTTGACTTTTCCCCCTCTCTGTTTTACCAATCATAGGGCTGACTTTTAATTGGGGAGCATTACTTGGATGGTCTGCTATCAAGGGTTCCTGTGATCCATCTGTGTGCCTGCCTCTTTATTTTTCTGGAGTTATGTGGACACTGATATATGATACTATATATGCTCATCAGGTAAAGAAATAATATTTTTTCTTAACTTTGGTTTATATATTGTTGTTTTTAGAGAACCTTAAAATCAGAACCAAATAAAGGAGAAAGTTGGTTTTTTTCCTAAAAAGAAAGGCACAATTTCATAACTCCAACAAAATACTTGTTTCATATTTATGTATGTTAACCAAAGAGTTTGATTATTCTATTTTGTTTACAAGAATTTAAGTAATTTTTACTATATTCAAGGACTATTTTCAACACTTTTCAAATACTAGTTTATTGTTCACAGTAGCCTGCAAGGAAGGTAATTTTATTATTGTCATTTTACAGATGTATGAAGTATGTATGAAATAACTTGGCCATGTCACACAGTAGGTGGCAGAGCTGAGATTCAAACTCAGTTTCCAGAATCTGCATTTTTAATGTTATACAATCCTTCCCCTCTATATACCTTTAATCATTGTATTGGTCATTTTTTTTTACTTAGTACAGGTAGTTAGCATTGTCGCACATTTATGCCATAGTTATTTTAAATTTAACAGTATGTCTATTTTGGCCATTTAAGCTGTTTCTGAGTTTTTATAATTTATAAATAGTATTTGTAAATATTATAAATCATTAATAGTTCATGAACATGAGGTCTTCAGGTAAATTTTTATGAATGGTATTACTAAATTAAAGGTATATACTTTTATAGCTTTTTTTTAATTTTTAAAAATATTTACTTATTTATGTATCTTTAGTTTTAGGAGGACACATTATTTTGTTTTTATGTGGTGCTGAGGATTGAACCCAGTGCTTCATGCATGCCAGGCGAGCACTCTACCACTGAGCCACAACCCCAGCCCTTTTTTTATAGCTCTTGATAATGCTTTGTCATAATTTTGATTTTAGAAACTTTTTTATTTATGACTTTGACATTCATGCTTTTTTCTACCTTGAGATGCAGTTGACAAAAAATTATATTTTCAAGATATATAATGTGATAATTTGGTATACATATACATTGTGAAATGATTACCATAATCAAATTAATTGACACACTCATCACTGCAATTAATTACCATTTGTGTATGTGGTGAGGGTGTTTATGAACTTTAAAAATTTTTTAACAACATTTTTCTTATAAATTATGACTATATAGTCTCAATTATTTGCTTAAAGAATATGTCATGATTTAATAAAATTCTTTTTGTAGTATTTCAACCTGGATTTCATCCTAAAACTCCATTACTGCTACATATGGAGAAGCAGATCTGTAATCAGTCTTATTTCTGAAGTAGTATTTGACTCACAGTTTAGGAGAGATACTAAGCTAGTGATTAGAATAACTGTACTCCAATTAAATTGACTTCTTTAGTAAATCACCACATACTCATTGAGACTTATGATTCACATAATTTGGCAGTTTTTACCCTGAATGTGATTACAGTATGAAAGAAAAAGAAATAGGATAATCCCATACTTAACTGTAGTTTAGATTTGGTCCCTAAAAGATAGCCTGTCGGGTAGCTGACTGTCTGCAGGTGAGTGTACAGTTCAGCATGGCAGCCACTGATATCATGTGACCCTAATTATAACGTACAATTGCTGGGGGAGACCACACAGCTAGATGTGCATAAACAGAAAAGACTTGATGGGAAAGCCAAGGATGTGATTATGTGGTGAGTGAGCATTTTACCCGTATTAAAATACATAAGAAATTATTGAGATTTGAGAACTTTGAGGTAGAAAGGAGCTATGTGAAGAATTAGAGTTTTAATTATGATATAGTAATGTGATATAATTTAAATCATTTTATGGTTATAAGAAATAAAATAAATGGGAATAAAGCTGGCTGATGATTTTAGTATTGCATGTAACTTTGGTTCAATCTGCATATTCATTATGATTAGTCTATATTTCTATGTTGTCATCTCTTACAGCTTGTGATATATCAGCATGCTCTTTAAAAGACTTTTCTTCTATAGCTAAAAGGCAGTGATAGTTGAATAACCTTGGGAATATATTTAAAACTGCTAAATTATACATTTTGAAATATGAAATTTGTGTATATAGTTAAATCCCCCAAAAAACAATTTCTTATTATTTTCTGATATTAGGACAAAAGAGACGATGCTCTGATTGGTCTTAAGTCCACAGCACTGCGGTTCCAAGAAAACACCAAGCAGTGGCTAACTGGCTTCAGTGTTGCCATGATGGGGGCGCTGAGCCTAGTGGGAGTAAATAGTGATCAAACTGTACCATACTATGCTGCTCTGGCCACCGTCGGAGCCCATCTAGCTCACCAGGTTTGAACTTTTTCTTTTTTCCCTCATTTTTCCTTGGTATAAATTATAAAAATTATTTAAACAAAGTGCCCTCTGTGTTTAGCAAGGAACTTCTTAAACAACCAGTTGATTTGTATTACCTTGAATTGCCCCCTCCCCTGCCCCAAGTTGTCATATTAAATATTTGGCTAAATTATTTTAGAGAAATATTATAAACCTAACCTTGGATTTTCCCCTTTGATTTTCCTGGAATTACTTCTGATGCATCTGGGAAAATTTCTGCAGTGTGTGAAACTTGTGGATTGAGTTGAATTGCTCTAAAAGCAAACTGATAAACCAAACTTAAAAAAAAAAAACAAATCTTAGTTTTTGTTGATGATTAGTAGACTAATCATTTAGAAGTTTGGGTTTCACTGACATTGAGACCAGTGCCAGGTAAGACATGACATGTAAACATGTCTAGGTTCTGGCTAGAAAGAAGGAAATTTAATTTCAAAATATTCACCCAGCACCACACCTCGAGTCCCTACAAGCTTATAGTGAAAGTCTGCATTATTGACTTATAAAATGAATGAACTAAATCTAATTTTAATTTAATAAATTGGCTATTTGTATCAGTGTTCTCTTTTTCTTTCTTTGAATAGAATTGACAAGATGTTGGTAAACCTTTGCTTAGATGATCTATTTTAGGCAGATTGTTATGAGTTACTGGTCAGTGTAGACAAGACTTGTACAACAAGGAATGGTATGAAGGAAACTGAAATCTAATGTACTGATTTTCCAGCATTGTTTTTCTCATTGTGAAAGCTAAAAGATGTGAATTGGTGATTCTCTAGAATATCACCATTTTCCTCTTTAGAATTTCTCAACATCCCTTCTGGCCATAACTCATTTCTATGGGGGCTGTCATCATCAATTGATTATCTGGTCTGGATAGTAGATATACATGAATATTTAAGCACCTGGATATTAGATGGAAGAGGAACACAAAAATTACGAGAACAACCATAAATATAAGGAATCTGTGGAACCCACTTTACATTTGCAGCTGCATATGTCTAGTCCTTAATGCAGTGTTTTAAGATGGATATAATCTTCTAGTATTTGAGTAGAAAGGAAACTCATGGTGTTAAATCTGTAGACCATATAATAAGGAAGAACATGAGACTTTCATGACATATTTGCAGGGCTACCATGGAGGGGAAAGTATGTTTGTGTGTTCTAGGACACTAGCCATAATATAGTTCTCTATATCCCCTTCTCCATGTAGGGATGGGAAGAATGTTTAGAAATGTATAGGGACATCCCTGGTTCTCTCATACATTTAGTCATTGAGAGCCAAGAGTATTATTTCAGTGCACCAAACAGCCCTGCACAATAGAATTGTCCTGCCCAAATGTGACTTGTCCTTGGTTGAGAGTAAAGTTTGAACCAGAGGATGGGAGTTGCAAGGAAACCAACTTCAGATCACTCTGTGTAAGGAAGAGCTTTCTGAGTATAGGGAATACTTTTGATCTGAAATGCTTGAGACAAGAAATACTTGAGAGTTTTGGAATATTTGCATATCCATATGGGGGATGGGACCCAAATCTAAAAACTAAGTTCATTTTTGTTTCATGTACATCTTATTCACATAACCTGAAAACAATTCTATAAAATGTTTTTAATATGTCTGCATTTTGACTGCAGTTCGTTAAATGAGGCCAAGTGTTGAATTTTCCACTTGTGATGTCAAGTCTGCTGTGGTGTCAGTTTTGGATTTTGGAGCATTTCAGATATTCGGTTTAGGGATGCTCAATCTATAATCAGAACTAAGAATAGTATGAGTTACTTCTCAAAGCATTCACATACCCCTTACCAGAAGTTTTTAGGACACAGCTTGGATGATTCTCAGTGAAAAATAATGATAGATTTTTCCACATTGGGAGACAATTTGGGATACAGTATTTCCCACTACTTAAAATTCAGTGACTACTATTTCCTCTGTATTTATTTGTTTCTTTGTTATATTCCAAAGCCCTGACTAGATACCAATGCAGTATTATGTTCTTCTCTTACAGATTTACACCCTAGACATCCACAGACCTGAGGATTGTTGGGATAAATTTACCTCCAACCGAACAATAGGAATAATCATTTTTTTAGGGATTGTCCTTGGGAACTTGTGGAAAGAAAAGAAGATAGATGAAACAAAGACAAGTAAAGATAGTAAAATAGAAAATTAGCAAACAAAGTTTAGGAATTAGGAAAACAAATTTTGACAAAACACCCTGAGGCCTTGCAAGCACATAATTAGGTAAAATAAGAAATCTGGTGCAATATGTTAAAGAAGTAAGAACCAAAAGATGAAGATTTATATCATATTTACCTGGGTTTTAATTCATCTATTTGCTAGCAGAATTATTCCCCTGTCACAGAAACCAGGGACTCTCTTAAGATTTTCGATGACCTTGATATTTAAGTTGATGCATTCTTCTGCCCATTATAATTCTCATCTGAAGTTATGGAAATCATGAGAGTTTTGGCACTTTAGAAAAACCCTGATGTGTATCTCATCAAAATGAATGTCTCTGTAGGAAAATATAGTTTCTATTTATTTTTTATATTATCTAATTATAATTTATAAAATAGAAACATGTTTGAATGTATCATTCTTCTCTGTACCCCCTTCAGAATGTTTCCAACCCAGCAACCAGAGTAATTCTCTTAAGTGACCTAAGTAAGGTCATGTCATTCCTCTGCCCAGAACCCTCCTGGATCTCCCCTGGTCACTCAGTACAAACTCAGAATCGTGTTACCTGCTAGACTTTCATGATCTGGCTTCTATCTCATTACTCTTCATACTCAAACCTGTTCCAGCCATGCTGTGTGCGTTACTGTTCTCAGTGTAGGCAGACTCCTACCCTAGGGCCTTTTCATATACTATTCACTTTGCTTGAGTGAAAACTAGGTCTTACTCCTTTACTGCAGGTCTTTTTCTCTTCCCCACTTCCCTCCCCCCATCCATCCTTTCTTCCTTCTTTTTTCTCACTGAATTGTGATCTTCCTGCATCCACCTCCCAAGTCACTGGAATATAAGCATGCACTACTGCACCTGGCTTCCAGTCTTTTCTTGAATCTCACCTTCTAAAAGAGGCTTTTCTTAGTCACTGTTTCTAAAATTTATACAGATATTACCCATACTTCCTGTCTCTAAAAAGCTCTTCATTGCTTTTTTCTTGCAGCACTTATTGTTAACCTAAAATACCTTTTACTTGATTTAAGTGATTATCATGGACAATGAGATGAAGAGGCAATCACTTGTATATGAGGGTTGTGGGCAGCAACAAATGTTAACTTGTATAATATTGATGACAATGACAGTAATGCAACCGACTGAACACTTACATATTCCCATCACTGATCAATAAGCATAGGAAAAATTGTTTAACTTTTTCCAGCAAATAATGAAACATTGAAAGTGTTAAGACTTAGTATAGAAGTAGCAGCTGTAACTTTGCTATAGTAGCAGTGAATTGAAGGAGGAAGAAGGAGGAACATGGTACCCTACTTTTAATTAAATATGATTGCCTTTAATTTTACCTAATTCTTACACTGATCAAGATAGAATTTAAATCTATTGATTTGTTTTATTAATAATATCATGTTATATTTTAAAATGCTTAACCATCTTAACCCGTTATCATTGACTGAATGGCATTGGTTTCATTTTCCTTAGTTGAAAAAAATTGAAAGAAATTTTGGAATCAATAAAAATCTTGCAGCCATTTGTGAAGAATCAGGGCAGGAGAAGAGAAAGTTAATTCATAGATTCGCTTGCTCTCAAAAGCTGCTAAAACTTAACTGGATCATTTTAGTTCTTTTACATTTCTGCTTTTGCCTTCCAGTAGAGAAGCAGTAAAAAAAACAATATAAATGGGTAAGGGTAAGATAGAAAAAAAAAGATGAAGTAGGATATTAGCCTCTAGAATCAAGGACTCAAAACAATTCAGGCTCAGAAAGAACAACTGTCATCCATCTACAGTGAAGATTGTCTGTACCCTGTATAATAATTATTTTTTTTTTAAAGAGAGAGGGAGGAGAGAAAGAATTTTAATATTTATTTTTTAGTTTTCGGCAGACACAACATCTTTGTATGTGGTGCTGAGGATCGAACCGGGCCGCACGCATGCCAGGCGAGTGCGCTACCGCTTGAGCCACATCCCCAGCCCCTGTACCCTGTATAATTATGAGGGGTATTGCCAGACATAAAATGACAGTGGGAGTCACCAGTCTTGGGAAATCTATTAAATGGATAGAGTCCTTGATCTAGACATCTACTTTGGGGCTGGGGATGTGGCTCAAGCGGTAGCGCGCTGGCCTGGCAAGCGTGCGGCCCGCATTCGATCATCAGCACCACATACAAACAAAGATGTTGTGTCCGCCGAAAACTAAATAAATATTAAAAAAAAAGAGACATCTACTTTGGATTCTGTGAGTCTGTATAGAGAAATGAGTGAAAGAGTTCTATAAATTGTGGACAATCATCTTGCTTAAATTTATGATATCACATGTGCTGCCTCTCCCTCTTCCTGAATTTCTTTGCTACTTTGCTCAATGCCTAGATTAGAAAGGCCTTCACAGTCAGGTCCCACCCTACCATTTCCCAACTCAGCCTCAAACCTCAACCCTCAGGGCTTCTCTTCACTATCTTCAGATCACACTCACGCCCTTCTCTGTCATTACAACTGTTCTGCCAGCAGATAGTATGGTAAGGCCCCTGGAGTAATAGGCCCATGTGTGAGTACTCTGGCAATCTTCAGCTAGGACCGGTCTGGCACCATGTCCTCATCTGCCAAACTGAGCTATCATTAACATTTAACTGATTTGGGATATGTTTGAGTTATGGGCTGACTTTTATGCCCCAGAAAACTTCATATATTGAAGTTCTAACCCCTTGTATCTCAAAATACCTCTTGTCTATATTTGCAGATAAGATCTTTTAAAGAAGTGATTGAGTTAAAATGAGATCTTTAGGGTGT